AATTAAGCTTAAGGAAAGCTAATTTGTTCTAAAACAACAAGATGAAAGGTATATGAGAGATTAAAGATTTTGAGTTCTTGAATCAAATCTTGAAATAGAATTGATAAGTTGAATTTAAGTTGAATTTGACTTGTCATCTATGAGATTAAGAAGTTAGAAGTGTTAGAATTATTGAATAACATGAAAAATTTGATATGATTATTGAATTCTATATGGAGAATAGAATTCTAAGGTTTAAGATGAAATAAATGATATAGATTGGTTTAAGTATGTGTACTAGAGTTAAGAATGAAAAGGGGGGGATGATATAGTGTTTGAGAGAAATTGAAGTGATTTTCGAGCTAAAAATATGATTTCTGGGCAAAGGGAATCGGTACCCATTCAAGGGGAACCGATACCCCTTCAAACGACAGAATACCAGAGGGGAACCGATACCCCCACAGGAGGGAATCGATTCCCCCCTAAAGGAAAATGTTAATATTGGTTTAATAAGTTCGTTTAAGTTGCTAGTATCCAATTAAAAGGTGTGGGTATCTAATAATTGTCTTAAAATGTATAATTAGGTGATTCAAAGCCTAAACGAGTTCGGAATCATTGACAAGTAAGATCGATAAAAAGGGAAGATAAGAGATTGAAAGGGACTAGTGAGGCCAGGTGAGTGCAATTTAAATTGTACTTATGTGATTGATCAAACATTGGCTTGCGATGAGTCAATGATAGAGTTACTATGGTAAGAGGTAAATTATATAATGTTATGTGTGTTTCTTAATGATAATGATGGTATATGTTTATGTATGATTTATGTTATATGAAATATTATATGTTTTATATGCCTCACTAAGTCATCGACTTAGCGTGTGATTGTTTCACACGTAGGTATGGAAAGCGAAAAGAGAAATAAAGATGGAGCAAGACAGGTCAGTTCTTCTTACCAAATGTCAGATCAGAAAATATATGTATGGTATATAGAGTGTAGTTGGCATGTAGCCTAAAGATAAAAATTGTATGAACTCTGATATATTTTGTAAACGTTTTGAATGAGTTAAATGCTATCCAAGTTTTTTTTAAATTACTCACTATTTTATACGAATAAATGTTTGAAAAGTTAATGTGACACTTCGAACTCGTATTCGGGTCGGATACGGGTTGGGGGTGTTACACATATATATGTTCATGTGATTGGATAAATGATGTATATATATGAATAGATTCAAATACATATGTGATATGAGAACATAACATGAGCTACATGATCACAAGAGAAATGACATGAGCTATATGATCACAAGAGAAATGACATGAACTACATGATCACAAGAGAAATGACATGAGTACATGAACATATAAAATAAAAGAATAATGCCCATAGTATACGATATGAGAGCTATAGGTGTAATTGGCATGCCAAGAGTCGAGGGTATAATAGTCCTTCGGGATGTAGTGGTCCTACGGGACATATATGAGTCCTTCGGGACGAATACTGAACTAAGGTTCGGTGCCCCATGAGGAATTGATACGAGCTGTGGTGACAGCATTAGTGCACAACCTCTATGTCTCACATACCTCTATTCTCAATAATATACATGGGCAATTGAAATACAAAGTAAAGTGAAAGTGGTACAAGAAGGTTTTGTACATGATGATATGATTATATATGTTATTGTGTAATAGATACATGCATATTGAAATGTCATGAAGAAATGGTAAGAATGCATTCATAAAGATATTGTTGCATATTCATGAAGATATTGTTGCATATTCATTTATTGCCTCACTAAGTCTATGACTTAGCGTGTAAGTGATTTACACGTAGATACCAGAAATAAGAAGATTCAGAATAGCGGTGGCACGGACAACAACATTACAAGAAATTAGATCAGAAGTAATTGACAAGTAGGTATTTGTTGTGTATAAAGTGTTGGTATGTAATAATTGATTAATTATGAATGCTCTAATCTTTTGTATTAAGTGGTCTCTTTTATGTAAATTAAAGTATTTTGTTTTAATGAAAGTTTTAAATTCCCCGGGATTTTTCTTTAATAATCAAGTTTGAAAAGTAAATGTGACATCTCGGACTTGTATTCGGGTCGAATATGAGTTAGGGTGTTTTTATAACTATTAAATAAATTGAATAATATTTTAAGTCTAACAAAATATTGCAATCTCCATAATAAATCATGTATAATTTGGGCATTACAAAACTTCTGATTTTGGCAATATGGTTATATTATTGATTAGTTTGAGTAGTTATAAGATAATATATGTCAAATTTTATTAATCTTTATTGACAACACATATATTGTATACACTCCACAAACATAATTGGTCAGACTTGAATCCTCTAGAAAAAAACAACACTTTCTTTACTATTTAATCCCTCTGCGAATTTAACAACATGATATTATTAGGTAGATGTTTATATATTATCTCAGTTATATTTTTTTCATATCAAGTGAATAGAAATTTAGATTATCTAATCGGATTCGACTCAAATGATAAGTATGAAAACTTAGTCAAGTGGAATAAGTTAATAGAGGAGAGGAAATGCAAATATTTAAGTTGGTATGGATCACTAGTCTAACTCCACGTGCAACGTTGATTACGTATTTATGGCAGACAGTGGAAATTTCAGTTGTGGAGTTGAGGACTATAAGTATATTAATGTTAACTTTGGGACCGGGGAATTATTGGATCAAACAACAATAGTATACACCAACAACAAGTGTCTAAGTGAGATCTCTCAAGTAAGATTATCTCTTAAGTAAGGTTAGGTGTCGATCATAACGTTTATAAATGGAACAAATTAGGTTGGGAGGGTCGTTCACCTCTATAGTATCCGATTCAGATTAATCAATCAATAGATATACATTTTTTTAAAAAAAAAAGCAATATTATATATATATATCTTTAGGTCCAATAATGCTTCTCACTCAATTTTTTATATAGAAAAAAGCCAATAGATGAAATAATGAAATGACTAACATTCACATTAAAAGTTGTCCGTTAAGGTTTAATACTTTAATAAGTTGATTAATGAGTGTTGAATCATATCATTAAAAAAGTTAGCCATAAACCTAAAATATTAATCATAAACAAACATTAATAATATATAAAATTCAAATAGCTTAAAAAACCTTTATCACCTCAGATTATCAATCATGCAACTGCATATTCATAAAATATGATTTCGCAATAGATAGATAGTTTTCAAAATAATTTTTTTATTCATAAATTATTCAAATATTATATGAATTTGAAATAATATTATTAGTTAGAATACACTTGCCCAATGTAAAACTTTTTAGTTTTATATAGATTTAGATCGTTGGATGAATGAAAATAGGGGTTGAATTAACTTTGTTTTATTTCAGTTGATGTCTTCTCATTTTCTACTATTAATCTTAATTTTCTATTTCACTCATCCAACAGTCCTATATCTGTATAAAATTAAAAATTTATATACTATGTAATTAAATCTTATCTCAAATATTATTGTCTTATATATATATTTAAATTTATAAAAATAAATAAAATTTAAATAACGTCAAATATTTAAATTCACAAATATCTGTATATACTAAAAATGGTTAAGGCTTAATTTTCTTATAAACAAATACATTCAATATTTTATAATTTAGAGTCAAATTTTAAAGTTTAATATGCAATGTCCATAAGTAATGCAAATTCAAATAATAATATATTTAACCACTCTAAATCATGAATGAATAATAATTTTAACATTCAAATTAAAAAAAATAGATTAAAATATATAAATATTCCATATTCAGATTATTATCATTTCCCCGTATAAGTATCATTTTTTAATATTATAGGGTGTTTATATGCGATATATGTTTAATTTTTTTAGTCTGTTAATAATGCACACACACTTAACAAATGTAACTATTTAAAGTTCATTTTTTTAAAATATTTTATTCTATCACTAAAATCACTTAATAAATTTTATACGATAATCTTCAAAAAAATTTATAAAAGATAGTTCGATCTAGATAAAAATTGGACATCTGAAGTGTCGTAAACAATAAGCATAGCAACTGTAGGTCGAAAGAGAGCAAGCTATAATAGCCCGATAAGGGGGAATTGGAGGCTTACCTCAATCTTAAAATGAATATGCTTATAATTTTATAATGGGTTAAATTCATTTATACGTGTAATTTTTTAATTTTATATTGATTTAGGATTTTGGATGAGTAAAATAGATACCGAGTATCTTCTTATTTTTTTTTTCAATAAATATCTTCCCATTTCCTATTGTTAACCTAAGCCATCTATTTATACTCATCCAACGATCTTAAATTTATGTAAAACTAAAAGAGTTTTACACAATATAATTGAATCCTAAAAATTACTTAACAATTAGAAGGAAAGTAATATTTTAATGAAAAATGTAAAATGATAAATAGATAATTATTTATTTATCACTTAATGAAAATTTTCTGATAAATTTTATTAATTTAAGTATATATCAAATACATTTTGCAACTTAATTTTTAAATAATAAATATTTGAACTTATCAAAAACCATCTTAATATAAAATAAGTTTTCATTTGAAATAAAATAATTAAGAATAGAAGATAACATTTGGGTAACTTAAAAACAAATTAAATAATAATTCAGGACTTGTTAGTATTTTAACCAAATATGATATACAATTAATCAGTTTTTTTTCTCCGTAAGAGCATATTGTTGTGTTGAAGGCCCAAAAAAGTTAGAAGAGCAAGGGCCCAAATTGCAAATCGTCGTGCAACTCATCTCCAGTGGAATGCGCGTGGGAGAAAAGCCGGATGGTGGACTCCATCGATGGTCCCATCCCAACTCCCAATGTCAAAACTCCAGACCAGTTGCTTCAATCAAAGCAGTCATCAAAGTAACTCTCTCACTCTCGCTCTAATTTCATTTTCAATTTATATAAAAATAAAAGAGAAAGAGGAGAGTTTCAAGGAAAATCAAAGTCTTTTGCAGGTTAATTGACTAATTATTCATCACGAATTTTTGTTCACCTTATCTAATTTTCCCTCTCGTGATTATTATTTTCGTTGATTTTTTTGTTGGTCAAAGATTTTGAAACGGATCGCTATGGCAATTGCTTCGGAAGAAACCACCCGCATATGCAATCACTGGTATTTATTAGTATTTTTATGATTTTTTTTTAGAATTAATTCTGTTTCGCTGGATATCTGTGCTATTTTTTTCTTGTATTTTCGATCCCGGTTTTGTTTATTTATGCTTTTATCAGCTGAGATTTTTGTTTATTTGAACTTATATTGGCGGATTGAAGGAATTCTTGTTTCGTGGTTTGTTTAGAGTTTGTGTAGTAGATTGGTTAATGCTCAAAGAAATTATTGGTAATTTAAATTGGCCAAATTAAGTCGAGAAGGGGGATAATTTAGTTGAATTACCCTCTGGTTTTAGCTTGGATTAGGACCTAAAATTCTGTTTGTTTGATGAATTTCTTGTTGTATTCGGTTCATGTGATCACAGCCTTTGTCTTTGCTCCTAGTTGAGAATTCATGTGATGAATTCTGTTTGTTTAGGGTATTTTGAACCTTTGTACATAGTTTTTGATTCTTTTTTGGCGGTGTTCTAGTCTACGTTAACAATACTTTTATAATCCACTTTGAATCCTGAGCTTAGCTCAGTTGGTTCATGCAGCTATCCGTAGTAAGTAGCATCTTGGAAGCATGTGGTTCACATTCAGCATCTACAACCCCATTCCAGGCTATCCTTTATTGTTCTAATAAAAGAATAACCTTTGTATTCCACTTAATGGAAAAGTGTGCTTAGCATTTGCAAATTGTTAAAAAGCAGCTCGGGGCTTCCACATTTTCCTATTTATCATGAAGTAGTTTCATACGATGCTGTAGTATGATCTTATGTTTCCCTAGGAAGGTGAAATATGAGTTGTTTCAAAGACTACCAAGGTTATGTTTCCCTAGGAAGGTTAAATATGAGTTGTGACAAAGATTACCAAGGTTCATCTATTACCTTATATTTCTGCAATATAGAAATACATTATTTTAGTGAATTAACGGAGTTAGAATAACCAGATATATTGATTAATCACTAATTTATCTAACATTCATTTATTTAGGTTTTACCGTCGTTTGAAATTCCCATACAGAAGAGTATTTAACAAGTACTTTTCCTTCTTAATTGTTCAGTGACAGGGCTATACCTTCTTCTAACATCGAGTTGCATTATGCTCATTGCTCCCGTAATCTAAAAAAATGTAAAGTTTGTGGTGATATGATTCCAAAAATGCATGCTGAGGAACATTTCTTCAACACACACGCTCCGGTAGGTCTTTTCTTTTCTTTTGAAATGAATCAATTCTGTAACACCCCCAACCCGTACCCGACCCGCTTACGAGTCCGAGATGTCACATTGACTTTTCAAAACCTTTACTTGAACAAAATAGTGAATAATTTTAAAACTTTTACTAAATACAATTGACTAATTTACATAAATTAGTATCATATGATTTTACAAAACAAATTCGAGTATATCGAATTCAAATTTTTATTTACATGTCAAATACATATATTTTCTGATCTGAACTTTGTAAAGGAGATACTGACCTGTCTTGCTCCCCAATGCTCTCTAAATTCTTCTCGAACTTACGTGTGAAACAATCACACGCTAAGTCGATGACTTAGTGAGGCAAATAAACATATAATAGAAATCATAAAACATTCCATATAAACCACATGAACATTTAATACTAACTTATCATACAAATCATATAACAATTTCATACAAAATTACACACCTTTTTATATAACAAATACACTCATGTACATATATCATCATCTACTTTCTTAGCATTATCATATAAATTATTATAATTATTTCTATCATTATCATCCAATTATTTATCACCTGATCTTGTTCTTATCATTTATGTATATCATATCACACATATCATTTCACCAAGAAACACCCATAAATCATAATTCCTGTAACCAAAAGCACATACATTATATATATATTGTATTCATGTTATCTCTTTGATTAGCCTATGGTACACTTGTGAGAACTATAGATATGTGAGTCTATAGAGGTTGTGTACTAATGATGTCACCACAGCTCGTATATCATCGAAGTGTCGCGTAGAAATGCACCGTAGTGCCACGTAGAATTGCACCGAAGTGGCGTGTAGAAATGCACCGTAGTGCCATATAATGTCCATAAAGACCACATAGAAATTCTTTAAGAATCATATACATATACTAAGGACCAAGTATGTGTCTCAAAGACCTCATAAATGTTCCAAAGAATATATATGTCCCGAAAGACCGCGTAGACTCTCGACTCTTGCCATGCCAACTATACGCCTAGCTCTCATGACACATAACATGGGCATTATCATTTATTTCATTTCAAATATTCACATAAACCTGTAATTCACTTTCATTCGTATCACACAGCTTTTCACATAACTCATAGTCATATGTCTTATCTCATAACATGTACATGTTTTTGCCTATATAATTCATATCATTTCTTATACCATCACATAATTCATTTAACATACATATCATGTAACATTATAATAGAAATACCTATAAGTCATATCACTTAGATTTCATATACATCTAGTCACATAGATCACTTTTGCATAGTTTATATCCACATGTATTATCTACATGTATACCCAGGAATCAAATGGCACATACCAAATCATATAAATATATATAGTTTATGCAATCACGTTACTTATACTCACATAGATCCTATAATAGAGCTTAGTTACCTTGTACATGTTATCATTCAGGCATATAATCTTATATCAATCCTATAGGTAAAAGCTATCTTTATCTCATTTTCCCTTTGTATCAGCTTACATGATTTATTATACTAACATGTACAATAACATATAACCCTTATCACTTATCTCACGTTATTAATTATGAATTATTCTATCCATTTAATTTAGTTCTATAGCTCCTATAATCTTCTCATAAGGTTTTATAGTTCTTCATTTTATAATTCTATATCATAGTTCTTTTAAGCATATCACTTTTTCCTATAGTGTTTATCCTATAGGTTCGTACATCGTTATGCTCATGTCCCGTAATTTATATATATACCATTTTCATAAAGTCTCTTCTTATTATCTTCTGATCTATATATTATTCTCTTATTATCATATTACTCTATAGTTTGGTCTTATTTAACTCATCACCCATCTCATGTAGTCATAAATATATTATACTGATTCTCATAATTAATCACCTATACCCTGCAACATGTATGGTCATCCATCATATAACTTATTTCACTTCCCATGCAATCATATCATCATATTAGATCCTATAACTGTTCACACTACATGTATTCACACAAATCATTTAACACTACTGGAATTTATATCATATATACTCAAATCAAACATATACATATGATCATAAATTCATACATTCTAATATAGGAAATAGACTCGTCGCAAGTCTTGTTTTCATTGAACATCATAAACTAACTTGTATGCACTCACCTGGGCCTCGTTTGCTTCGAATCAATCCTAATCCTTAGTTTGTTCCGGAACAAACTTTCATTCTATATCATAATAATACATTTATACTTATCAGTATACTAATTGATATATTCGAAACTATCACTCCTTAGGCTAAGAGAAAAGCCAATTTCATCTTTTAATGAAGGTATGCATCGATGCACTGTATAGTGTATCGATGCATTCCCTAACGATGCACAGATGCACTACTTGTGCATCGCTGCATAAAATACATTCGATGTTTGTATTTTAAGGGGGTGCATCGATGCACTACTTATGCATCGATACACTACTTGCATTCGATTTTTATTTATTTGAGAGTGCATCGATGCACACAACCCATAAATTCCATTTTAAGCACGAAATTATTCAACTCTTCATTCAATTCTTTTATTTTAAGCCCCTATCATGTCCTTAACTCAACTACCATTACTTAAACCACTTATATCCATATAACCATATTTATCTTCCATATCTCATCATGATTCTTAAAATTAAGAATCTTACTAAATTTTCAACTTTGTTATAAATCCTTTCTAACTTCATAATCTTATTTATTGATGACAAGTCAAATTCCTTCTCAAAATTCACTTATTACTCTTTCCAACATTTCCTTTAAAAACTCATTTTCTTTAATCTTTCATAACTTCTTCATCTTTTGATTTTAGGATAACCTAAGCTTTCCATAAGCTTAAATATTACCTAAGGATCAAAACCCACTCTTAAATTAACAAATAATCAGCTACAAGGAATCTTACCTTTGCCTGGAGTTTTCACGGGAGGAAGAAGAAGATGAAGAGAAAAGAGAGAAAGAGATTTCTGGAAAAATCTCTCATCCTTATCCATATATATATCATTATTTTATTCATCTCTTGGTCAAATGACCCTTTTTCCTTTAATACATTTTATAATTACTAGTATCTTCAAGGTAATATTTTCAAATAAATCACTGAACTTTTCAACTATTCCACTTTAAATCACCAAATTCTGAAATATTACAATTGGTCACTACCCCGGTATTAAGGATGTTACAAATCTCCCCTCCTTTAAAGAAAATTTGTCCTCGAATTTTCACTGCACATCTTGATAAGAACATGTGTTCTAATGTTTTCATGTTGCTTCCTTTACTTAATCTTTCCTGTCACCATCAGAAAACTTACTTTTCATTCCTTTAATTCTTCATCTACCTTTTCCCTTATACATCCATATCATATCACTTATCAGGTACAATAACATCAGTTCTTCACTTAAAATCATAAATCAATCAATTACTCATCAATCTCTAATTGCCTTACAATCATACTCCACTTTTATTCTATCATCACTTTACTGTCTCTTAACTTCTTTAATCATATAAATCATTCTTTATTTCTCTGACTACTTTTACTTGACCAAGAAACATAACTTTAAATCTTCATCATGGATGATTAAAACATACATTTTGCAGAATCAAGCAATCTTTCACATCCTTTGACAAACCTTTTTTACTTCTAATCAACTTATAATTTATACTTCAACATAACATTTATCATATCTGATCCTTTAAACTCAATCATTTCATTTCCTTATTCGATTACTTTTTCCCTAATTTAAAATCTTCTTATAGCATAGGTCATATCTTTTCTTCAGACTCTCATAATCTTTTAGCTTCCTTTGGATACACAAATCCGTATCTTCTTAACTATACCTCATTTACGTTATCTAAATCCACATCATACTTGATTGACTTAACCTTACATCTTTTCCAAATCTTACAACTTTATCACTTTTACTATTACAACTCGTCAATAGCAACTGTTCAATCTAGGGCACAAGCCCTAATCAATCAATCATATACATCATTTCTATTCGAAATTATCTCAACAAATAATTTACTTAACTTATAAAATCACCTTTATTCTCATACACCATGTAATTTCCATTATTCACACTTAACATTCTAACTTCTTTGTCTTATAAACGGATTAATGATGTATCCATTCTTAAATTCTTCTTATCAATCCTTAGATTTACTCAAACATACAAATCCTCACTTCCTTCACTATATCACTTTACTATGATCACAGTATACAACTGTATCCAGATTCACTTCATATTTGGTTATCATATCCTGACAATATCTTAAAATCTTATAACTCCAATACATTTATCACACAATCTTGTTAGCCAACGCTAACTCTTTCCATCTGGAATACAAACCTTTATCATATCCACAATCTTACTTATACACAATATTACTCATTTGATTCAAATCCATAACTCTGATTTCAGTCATCTTATAAACATATCACTTATGCACTTATTCTTGAACTCTTTTACAATTCTAACCACATCATTTGATCCTTTAACGTTCTTATGGTGACACTTGTTCACCATATTCTAGCTTGTCCACTTAGTAACGAAACTACTCAATTTAACTTCTCCATTTGCAGAAATGAAAACCTTCTAATCATTATCTTCATATCATTTAACCCAAAGGTCTGTAACAACAGAATCTTTCTCAAATCCACCCTAGAACTCGGGTGCTCTTAACTCTTTCAACTAATTCGATACATTCTTCTATGAGTTAAAGAAGTGGAAAATTAAAAACACATCAAAATATTATTCAACATCATGAAGACATTTTTTTAATCTTGTACAGGTATTCCCTGAGATTTTTCGCTCTTCTCCCTACCTGGTCAGGGCAGGTGAATACTATTACCTTCAGGTC